GAGAAATAATAAAGATCAGAGCAGAAATCAATGAAATAGAAACAAAAAGAACAGTAGAACAGATCAACAAAACGAGGAGCTGGTTCTTTGAAAGAATTAACAAGATTGATAAACCCCTGGCCAGACTTATCAAAAAGAAAAGAGAAATGACCCAAATCAACAAAATCATGAATGAAAGAGGAGAGATCACAACCAACACGAAAGAAATACAAACAATTATAAGAACATATTATGAGCAACTCTATGCCAGCAGATTAGATAACCTGGAAGAAATGGATGCATTCCTAGAGATGTATCAACTACCAAAACTGAACCAGGAAGAAATAGAAAACCTGAACAGACCTATAACCACTAAGGAAATTGAAGCAGTCATCAAAAATCTCCCAACAAACAAAAGCCCAGGGCCAGATGGCTTTCCAGGGTAATTCTACCAAACATTTAAAGAAGAATTAATACCTATTCTTCTGAAACTGTTCCAAAAAACAGAAATGGAAGGAAAACTTCCAAAGTTGTTTTATGAGGCCAGCATTACCTTGATCCCAAAACCAGACAAAGACCCCATCAAAAAGGAGAATCACAGACCAATATCCTTGATGAACATGGATGCAAAAATTCTCACCAAAATACTAGCCAATAGGATCCAACAGTACATTAAAAGGATTATTCACCACGACCAAGTGGGATTTACCCCTGGGCTGCAAGGTTGGTTCAACATCCACAAATCAATCAATGTGATACAATATATTAATAAAAGAAAGAACAAGAATCATATGATCCTCTGAATAGATGCAGAAAAAGCATTTGACAAAGTACAGCATCCTTTCTTGATCAAAACTCTTCAGAGTATAGGGATAGAGGGTACATACCTCAATATCATAAAAGCCATCTATGAAAAACCTACAGCGAATATCATTCTCAATGGGGAAAAACTGAGAGCTTTCCCCCTAAGGTCAGGAACGCAGCAGGGATGTCCACTATCACCACTGCTTGAATAGCAGTACTAGAAGTCCTAGCCACAGCAATCAGACAACAAAAGGAAATCAAAGGCATCCAAATCGGCAAAGAAGAAGTCAAACTCTCACTCTTTGCAGATGATAGGATACTTTATGTGGAAAACCCAAAAGACTCCACCCCAAAACTGCTAAACTCATACAGGAATTCAGTAAAGTGGCAGGATATAAAATCAATGCACAGAAATCAGTGGCATTCCTATACACCAACAAGACAGAAGAAAGAGAAATTAAGGAGTCGATCCCATTTACAATTGCACCCAAAACCGTAAGATACCTAGGAATAAATCCAACCAAAGAGGCAAAGGATCTGTACTCCGAAAACTATAAAATACTCATGAAAGAAATTGAGGAAGACACAAAGAAATGGAAAAACGTTCCATGCTCATGGATTGGAAGAACAAATATTGTGAAGATGTCAATGTTACCTAGAGCAATCTACACATTCAATGCAATCCCCATCAAAATACCATCCACTTTTTTCAAAGAAATGGAACAAATAATCCTAAAATTTGTATGGAACCAGAAAAGACCGCGAACAGCCAGAGGAATGTTGAAAAAGAAAAGCAAAGCTGGCGGCATCACAATTCTGGACTTCCAGCTCTACAAAGCTGTCATCATCAAGACAGTATGGTACTGGCACAAAAACAGACACATAGATCAATGGAACAGAACAGAGAGCCCAGAAATGGACCCTCAACTCTATGGTCAACTAATCTTTGACAAAGCAGGAAAGAATGTCCAATGGAAAAAGGACGGTCTCTTCAACAAATGGTGTTGGGAAAATTGGACAGCCACATGCAGAAGAATGAAACAGGACCATTTCCTCACACCACACACAAAAATAGACTCCAAATGGTTGAAAGACCTAAATGTGAGACAGGAGTCCATCAAAATCCTAAAGGAGAACACAGGCAGCAACCTCTTCAACCTCAGCCGCAGCAACTTCTTCCTAGAAACATCGCCAAAGGCGAGGGAAGCAAGGGCAAAAATGAACTATTGGGACCTCATCAAGATAAAAAGCTTTTGCATAGCAAAAGAAACAGTCAACAAAACCAAAAGACAACCGACAGAATGGGAGAAGATATTTGCAAATGACATATCAGATAAAGGGCTAGTATCCAAAATCTATAAAGAACTCATCAAACTCAACACCCAAAGAACAAAGAATCCAATCAAGAAATGGGCAGAAGACATGAACAGACAATTTTCCAAAGAAGACATCCAAATGGCCAACAGACACATGAAAAAGTGCTCAACATCGCTCGGCATCAGGGAAATCCAAATCAAAACCTCAATGAGATACCACCTCACACAAGTCAGAATGGCTAAAATTAACAAGTCAGGAAACGACAGATGTTGACGGGTATGCGGAGAAAGGGAAACCCTCCTATACTGTTGGTGGGAATGCAAGCTGGTGCGGCCACTCTGGAAAACTGTATGGAGGTTCCTCAAAAAGTCGAAAACAGAGCTACCCTATGATCCAGCAATTGCACTACTGGGTATTTACCCCAAAGATACAAATGTAGGGATCCGAAGGGGTACATGCACCCCGATGTTTATAGCAGCAATGTCCACAATAGCCAAACTGTGGAAAGAGCCAAGATGTCCATCAACAGATGAATGGATAAAGAAGATGTGGTATATATATACAATGGAATATTATGCAGCCATCAAAAGGAATGAGATCTTGCCATTTGCAATGACGTGGATGGAATTGGAGGGTGTTATGCTGAGCGAAATAAGTCAATCAGAGAAAGACGTGTATCATATGACCTCACTGATATGAGGAATTCTTAATCTCAGGAAACAAACTGAGTGTTGTTGGAGTGGGGGGTGGGGTGGGAGGGATGGGGTGGCTGGGTGATAGACACTGGGGAGGGTATGTACTATGGTGAGCACTGTGAATTGTGCAAGACTTGAATCACAGATCTGTACCTCTGAAACAAATAATGCAATATATGTTAAGAAAAAAAAAAAAGGAGATAGCAGGAGGGGAAGAATGAAGGGGGTAAAATCGGAGGGGAGGACGAACCATGAGAGACAATGGACTCTGAAAAACAAACTGAGGGTTCTAGAGGGGAGGGGGGTGGGAGGATGGGTTAGCCTGGTGATGGGTTTTAAAGAGGGCACGTTCTGCATGGAGCACTGGTGTTGTGCACAAACAATGAATCATGGAACACTACATCTAAAACTAATGATGTAATGTATGGTGACTAACATAACAATAAAAAAATTTAAAAAAATAGTACTCACTATTAGATGGCACTTTCTAATGATAAATATAAATACCAATAAAATAGCACAAATGCAATGCGAGTTGCAAATGTTCCAAAAGTTACAAAAGCAAATTAACTAATACAAAATGAAGAACCTACTTGCTTCAAGTTCCCATTCCGAACATGGGATATCCTAAGTCCACACATTCTGCAGCATAAACAGCTTATAGAATCTACCATCGCTAACCCACAAGGTCAAAACCTATATACCTGGCCAACATAGCTGCTAACCTTTCATAGTTTATGAGGATTTTCACCTTAACAGATAGCCTAGTTTACTAGAAGAGGCTTGGCCCTGAACAAACCTAAAGAATCAATACCTGTCTCCCAAAGGCAGGTGCAGCTGACCTAGAGAAATCTACAACATACAACAGAGTACTAGGCTTCAAGCTGTCTCATGAACACACACCTAGAGGCTGCAGCTAACCCTACACCCCGCTGGTCCTGGAGGAGTTGGAGTCAGACCCTCTGAGTAAGAGCTCTTGATCTCCACCAGTGGCTCTCACACGTCAGCATGCATCTGAATCACCTGGGTGACTTGTTCAGTCGCATTACTAGGCCCTCTCCCTACGTACAGCATCTGATTCCTAGGCCCAGAGTAGGACCTGAGAATCTCAGAGCTAAGAAGTTTCCGCTACTAATGCTGACCTAGTAACTAATATTAGTATCCTGAGTAAGATGTTGCTTGAAAGAAAAAAGGGTTCCTTTACTAAAAATAATATTTTATAAACCTCATGGCAGAAATTAAATAATTAAGTAAATAACTAAATCGAGATTAGAGGTGGAATAAAGGCCTATCATGGAAAAGTTAGAAAGAAATTTCAAAAGCAAACATGATAGTAGGAAGGGAAAAATGAAGCGGGGGAAATAAGAGAGGGCGATGAACCATGAGAGATGATGGACTCTGAGAAACAAACTGAGGGTTCTAGAGGGGAGGGGGTGGGGGTTGGGTTAGCCTGGTGATGAGTATTAAAGTGGGCACGTATTGAATGGAGCACTGGGTGTTATACACAAACCATGAATCATGGATCACTACATCAAAAACTAATGATGTAATGTATGATGATTAACACAACAAAATAAAATTTAAAAAAAAAAGCAAACCTGAAATATACTGTATCACTATTAATACTCTGGGTGAAGCAGTCACCTTTAGAAGCAATCAGGTAAAATATTTTTATATCAACAATTTAGTTAGCCTACAGAACTCAGGGTTCCACATAGGTCCCTCAAAATTTCAGGCTAAGTATCTTAATTAATAGCACATTTAATCAGGCCTAGTATGTAATTTTTAGGTCATTCTCTCAATTCCACTACAATGACTACAAGGGTTATATAGAAAGAAAAAAAATCCATCCCTGTTATCTGAAAATCTCCAAATTAAACCAAAACAGAGGGAATAAAATCCCAACTGAGTGGAGGTGGGGAAAGAAAGATGGCCATGGCTTTCTCTGGGTATCAGAAGAGTTAAGATTATACAGAATCTCTTAAAAATCTGAAGGATAATAAAATTAAATCTAAAGGATAATATCACCCTCTCTTTCTACTGTGACTAAATCAACTACCGTTTTTTCCACTCCTGTGTCATTGATGCATCTTTGCCAAATCATACAGTATTAAGTTGAATGTAGATAACTAGGAACATCCTGGAAAAGCTCCTGAGAAACTATTTTGATAAGAAACATGTAAATCTTTGGACTGGTACACTTACCAAGATATATACAACCGAAGCCACCCTGGCCAATGGGCGATCCTAGTTTCCACTCCTTCTTCGTCATATCAGTGATTATCTCCCCAGCTGCAAAGTGTTCTGCAAGTCGTCTCTTTCCAGGGCCCTGTCTTCCAGCTTGAGCTGCTTTTACACGAGGCATTTTCACTATAAAATGAAAGAAAGCGACACTCAGAATTCTAATCCTCAAAATGCTGTAAACGTTTTCCACTAAGGAAAGCTCTGTGCTACAAAGGTTCTTTTCAAATGTGGACGAGGATTTATGACATTACAGGAGATACTTTACACACAAGCCCCGATCCACCCTCACATCTCTGTGAAGATTACATTATCATCCCCATTTTACAGATGAAGAAATGAAGGCTCAGCAAAGTTTAGCAAGCTGTCCAAGGCTATGTACCTAGAAAGTGGCAAAGCAACAGAAATCTGCTCTGAGGACTAACCTGGCTTCTGGCTTCAAAGCCTCAACACCACGGCCCACAATTACAAAAGTCACCACAGTGAAGGAGAGGACCTTTCAAAACAGTGACAAGGGAACAGTGGCTCTTTGGTCATTTGGCTTCACAGACAAGGCCAAGCTGGTGACCCCCAAAGCTCCATGTTTCCCTTCTCACCCCTTGGCAATGAATCTGGATTCACCTTTCTCACTCACGGCCAAGGTTAACGTAACATTCAGAGAAAGCAGCGTGTTATGGTGAAAACCGCCTGGGCTAGACTCAAAAGCCCCAGATTCCAGTGCAGCTATGATACCAGTTAGTCTGGAGACTGTGATCAAGTCACTTCTCTCTGGGCTTTAACTGCGCTGAGATGTAGAGAAAGAACCCCCGGGGGAAGGGGGGGGAGGAGGCTCAAACTCTCAGTTCTACACTACTAATTGAAAAAGATTTAAAACAAATACTTTCTCGAGTAGTGAGCCCCTGGGTGGTTCAGTCTTAATTAAGCATCTGCCTTCGGCTCAGGTCACAATCCCAGGGTCCTGGGATGGAGTCCCTCGGTCACGGAGCCTGCTTCTCCCTCTGCCTCTGCCCCTTCCCCCATCTCATGCTATCTCTCTCTCTCTCTCTCTCAAGTAAATAAATATTTAAAACAAATACTTTCTCAGAGGCTGTAAGTCTGCAACACTTGAAATGGTTGTTCAGGTGAAAGACAGGTTTGTTACATTACATAAGGTGGTTTGCTTTGGAACCTAGATATTCTAAGTACTATACAAAATACTAGAGGGGGATTTTTTTTTTTTTTTTTAGCAAATCTCCACCCACTATCACACCACATACATAAACTCCATATATGCAAATGCTCTTTATTAACTTATTGGGGATTTTTAAATTTAATTTTTCCTATAGAATACCAATCCCTCTTCATTGTCTAAATCTTCTCTAACAAAACATCTTCAAAATAAATGAATGTGGCTATTATTTCTTCCTATCAAACAATTTTCTTAATGTGTATTTTTAATCATTATAAAATCTTCCTGAATGGAATTTCAGTGTAAACCGTAACAGACCAGACTCAATACACCAGACAAGGTAACTTTTACAGCGATGGTTGTAGACTGAGTGCAAGAAATAACCAAGACCAAAAAAAGGGAAAAAAAAAAAAAGAAAGAAAGAAAGAACGAACGAACCAAGGCATAGCACTTCCAAATACTAAAATGGATGCCTTCTAAATTTACCTCACTGTAACAAATCATCAGAGTAATCTCCTATTTGATGATTTCCTTACAGTAGTCAAGACAATTTAAAATGAGTTAAAAAAAAATCTTTTCCTCTTTCTGTAACTCAAGATAGTAACCAGACTATCTTTTGTGTTTTACTGGAATTCCTTTCCAAAAGTGACCATATTTCAAATGCAATATGCTAGCTCACCTTCTACTCAACATAAACTGCAGTCAACAAAAAGTGTTTTTCCTCCAAATTAAGTGGTTAGCTTTTATTCTGAGTTTTATTCCTATAGCCTACTTGTAACAATTAATGCAGTCTGGAATGACTTTCTTTCCTTCCTAAAAGCAGTCTCACAGAATCAGCCATCACTGTGAGTCTCCTGAATCCCTGAACAAACCACTGCTTCCAAAGGTTTGCTGCTACTGAAGATGGCGGGACTGGCAGCACACCTGTTTAATCTCCCTAAACTTCCCCATAAAACCAAAGAGGACAACTGGAGAGCAGGACTCAAACCCAATGGGCAGCATCTACAACAAAACTAAGCGACAGTATTCCCTACATCCACAAACCCCAAAATGGGAGTGGGTGAAGAAGCCTCAGACAGCAAGATGACCTACGTGCTACCAGCAGCTGTGAGGGAAGCAGCAGAAGCGAGGGCGGTGTCGCTGATGAATCTGAGAATCCCCAAGTAACCCCAGGTTACTTCTCAGAAGCACAGAGACAACGTGGGAACAGCAGCCCAAGCTGGGAAGGGCTGTGCGCACTCCAGCAGCGGGCTCATGCGGGGCTCTGCTGGAGGGGCTGGAGCAGGCTGGCCTCCACAACTCGCAAGACCAACCAGCCAAAACACTCTCAGGTCAAAACCTCCCCAGGTGGACAAGAAATGGCTGGGAATGGAATCCAAACTGAGCATCACAAAGCTAATACAAAGAAAGGAAAAAGAAGGTTCAAACACAAAAGTGGATCTGTAAGTTAGCCTCCATTGTTTTGGAACACTATACCAAAACAAAACAAAACAAAACAGAACAGAAGAGGAGGCTCTAGAAAATGACATAAAGTCAACCTGAACTATACCATCTAGAACTAATTGCACATAAAAGAAAAATAATTGCTTATAAAACTCAGCAAGAAAAAAGGATCAAGGCCTAGTCCCGTGCAAATTGAAATTTTTTTGAAAATCCCTGCAAAAAAATACATAAAACAGGCTTGCCAAAAAGTTGAGAGCTATGAACCAATATTTCAAAACAAGCTTAAAAATCTTTATATAGAAAGATTAACAAGAGATCAGATTTAGAAAAACTCAGAGACCAAGGGATAGAAGGAAATAACTAAAAAGTCACAAACATTTGAGAGATGAAAACTAAGCTAGAAGGAACATCAGACTGAAGACAATTTAAACACAGTGACTTAACAAAAATAGAAAGTGAAAAGGAAAAAAATTTAAAAATCAAAAAGGGTGAAAAAGATAAACATTTCAAGAGAAAATCATAGATTTAGAATGCAGAAAAAGAAAAGCCAGTGAACATATAACAAAGACAATCAAAGCAAGGGAACAGAATACCAAAAATGCTTTAATCTAAGAAGACTTTCCTAAACTTTAAAAAAAAAAAAAGTGAAATTACAAAATGAAAGGTCACACCTTACACAGTACATCGAGAAATCAGCCCAGGACAACCCGCACTCCAACATCACCTAGTAAAATTACAGAACTCCACGAAAAAGAAAGTATTCTTTGAGCATCCAGGCCAAAAACAGATCTTTTATAGGGAAAATAAATCAGACTGTCATCACTCTGACAGGAACACTTATGCCAGAAAAAAAAGGGGAAGTAACATAGTTAAGACAAAACAAGAACTGAAGATTTTATACTAAGTTAAATTTCAAGTATAAAGACCAGAGTGTTCTCAACATGGAAAAAGGGAATAAGAATCCACCAGAGAACAAGCCTCAGATATCCAAAATGCCTAAAGAAATGTTGCTGTAAGAACTGATAGTGAGCAGTAAGCAGACACTGATTTGTAGAAGCAAGACTCAGTAAGGACTATAAGGAGAGGACAGAATATATAATGGGCATATGTTCTGATGAAGTAGATACAGTACAACTGTAAAACATGGGAGAACATACACAAAAACACCCAACTCTCCAGTAATCATACTATAAGTGATACCTGGTTTTGTAGACTAAGGTTAATATACACAGCTGTGGAATGATGCAAATGAGTAATTATGTGATATTTTAATTCTGCCATCCCCTTGTATCCTTAAAAATCGAGATTCAAATACGAAAGAAAGGGGATACAGATGAGAGAAGAGGTAAGGCTAAAAATGCTTTATTTGAAAATAGTTTTCAGAGGTTATTTTTTACAAAATGCACTCTTGCGCGCGCGCGTGCACACACACACACACACACATCACCTTTGCATTTCCTAGCCCTAGCCACAAAAAAGCTTAGAAACAAATAACCAACCCAGTAGTAATGAGTATCAATAGTATACAAATTGTATTCTTAAAAATACTGTTTCTTGTCAAAGAAGCCAGATTTCTTGAAGAGAGGACCAATTCCAGATGTGGAGCCAGAAATGTACAAGACAGACTTGGAACACCTTGTCATTTCTAGGTGTCAAGGAAGCTATCAGAAACTACGAGAGTGATGTCAGATATGTCTAAGGAACCAACTTAGGTGTTCCCACTGACCAAAGTTGGGCCAATCTGAGTCAATAAAGATAATAACCGCTATGGATTAAAACACATAAAATGGGTAAATCCAAGAGTTTATAATAGTTAAGAAAACCTAAGCGGTCACCTCTAGAGAATAATAGGAAACCACTCAATTTTGAAAGCTGCTTTAAAAAAAAAAAAAAAAAGGAAGGAAAAGAATCAAGCCTTTATCCTTTCTTTCTTATATGAATTGTACCACTGGGTAACCAAATATTAGATGAAGAGAAATTTCTCCTTATGGAAAAATTTCAGCTAATAAATGAATAAGAATGGTTTTAGGTTAACACCATTTCCACCTCCTAATGAATTAATGGATCTAGACACTGAGCACTGATAGCTACTAACATCAAAATATGAGAGATGTCCAGACATATTATATGCCTCCTGATAAAAGTACATGCCACTACCCACGAAGTAATCTTGCCAAAAAAGAAAAATAAAAAATTAATAGACCCTGAAGCTGATCAAGCCTATCAATTCACAGGATATGAAGAGAACAGAAGAACATGATAAACTATAGCACAGGAATGCAATCAGCAAAGTCCCAAGGGTGAGAAACCCTAGAGTACATATAATCCCATTTCTTCAACAGATAAAGGGAAAAAAAGAAGAGATGGGGGAGAAGAGAACCAGATGCAGAAAGACTTAATACAACATATCCAAAACAAAACAAAATCAGGCAAATCTACACCGCAGTTTAGGGATGCGTATTTGTGTGGTGAACTGATAAAAAAAAGGAAGTGATTGCCATAAAAGACAAAAGTTACT